CCAAAAAAACTTACAGTTCTTCTGTCTTTTGCTGCTACTTTGCTGGTAAGGGGTTGCTGCCCAGTCGTGAGGCACATTATAATAACTTGTTTATGTTGAGCTGATCTGTTAAAGCGTTGCGTCAATTTTTTCCACTTTAGGCCACGGTGGAGGTTTTAAGTGGCTTTGTGTTTACAGTTATGTATCGTTCTTTAATAGCAGAGTACGATTTTCTGTTTTTGCTTGAGTGACAGGAAGAGAAGCGGGCTAAGTTACTTTGGTTGTGATTTGGCTCTCCCCCTCCATCTGTTTTGTTTTCCCTCCATCTTGCTGTTTTTGATGAGCTGGGTCTGCAGCCCCCTTTATAAAATCCCATTAGCTCTTAATGAAGTCAGGCTCCTAGCCTCTCGGCCTCACCTCATTTAGCACGATTGTCTGGCGGCCATTAGCATGGAGGCAATTACAGCCGCACGACAAGAGTAATTGGAAATGCCGACAGGGACCCTGAGAAATGGGAATAAATAAATAAAAAATATATTCCAACTAATAAGCTCCCATTCAGATAGCATGGAGGGAGCTGCATGTGTTTAAGTTAAATCAACATAATTACAATTAGGGTTGGTGGGGTAGACACTATTTCTGAGGCAGAAATTGATATGAGTGGACCAGGAGACAACAGTTAGGCACGGAGGTAGCGAGGGTGATGGAGAGATCACACAGTGGGGCTCATAATGAACAACATCAAGTGTTCAAGGGAAGCCGAGTCACAAAAAGGTCAGGAAAAGTTTCTCAGGACATGTCCCCTCGAAGGACTATCACATCGTTTCAGAGTTTGCAGTCAAAGTATTGCCACAGAAAATAATCAAAACCAAGGGGTACCGATGTGAAAATTTAGGCCGATACCAATATCCGAAATTGATATAGCTATAATAGCTATATCAATTTATATATATATATATCAACTATGTAAGGTAGAAATACACATCGGCTATTAATATCGGAACATTTTTACTTTATCGGACCGATGTCAATACCGGTATATCATGTGTTCCAGTTACTGACTTTAGGAGAACATTCATAAAATTACAGTTTGGAAACTGCTATTTCGTTTTTATTTAAAAAAAAAAAAAAAAAAAAAACTGTTTGATGATCAGAAATAGTGTAAAGACCAAAAAAAACTGAAGAAGAAGAAATCTGGAGGGGTCAAGAACCCTGGTTTGTAAGGATGGATGGGGAGCATTTCGACTGCATGAGTTCAGGAATCATTGCACAATCTTAGAGGCTGTGAGGAAGCTGAAACAACAGGCACGGTGCTGGCACGGTGCCATATTGCCATGACACCCCGCCCCCTCCCCCCTACTGCCCACCACCCCTTCCCTGCCTGCTAAGCTGAATGACAGGTGGCAGAAACCTGATCGGCATCAGCCTTCAAGAAGAAAGGAGTCCCATCTGAAACGGGCACTCTGCCTGTTCACCCCAACAAGAGGGCCATGGCATAGATGCTTCTTGTACTGAGCGGTCTGTGTGAGTGTGCACAAAAAATAAAAGGGTACGCGAGGAGGTGCATAATGGACTTTTTGGCCGAGGCGCTGAGCCCTGGCGCTGGATATCCAGGTCTGGAAGGGGGAAAACAGGAGGCTAGCTCCCACAATAGTCAGCGTGAGAGTCCCACAGGGGTGTCCACAATAGCAGAGCAAGCGGCTGTTGTCAGCAGCGACCTCCGAGACCTGACTGCTTGAAGTGATGTGATCCCACCCTTCAGCACTTCCCTTTTAGCACTGGCCTTCGGCTAATGCGGGGATTATTAAAAGATACGTGGATCTAAAGCACTTCAGCTTCGCAATATCTGACCTGTGTGCTACAAGCTTCAGTAAAAGTACATTTGAGGCACGTAAACTGAATGGATACGATGACAAACACAGAAGTGGCCACACCTGATGTAGATTTTAGTTTTGGTCAGCCTCTTACTGTTTTCTTATCTCTCCAAACCAAATCAGCTCTGAAAATTCGGCCACAATCACAAGATCGCCAGAGCATCTTGGCACAAAATGAAGAACCCCACCATGGAGCAGGCCTCGCCTTTCACAACTCACTGTTGCTGTTTTTCATTAAAGGAAAAGCAGGACGTTTAGTTGCGCAAAATAGCTTGCTGAGCAATCTCTCAGAAAGCCGGAGTGATTATAACTGCAAAGGGGGGGGCGGCGAGGGGCTATGCTAGGAAATGAGGAAGTGGGGGTCTCCAACCAGGAGGAGATTTAATTAGTAAAATCTCATTAAGTCTAACAAAATTAAGCGTAAAACAATCCTTGGCAGGGAATCATGGTGGAGATTCTGAGAGAGGAGATGCAGGGAAAGAGTGGGGAACACTTGGGGGGCTGAGAGGACAAGGAGACAAGCTGTGTGATTATTTGGGAATGTGTGGAGGAAAACACTAATGTCTTAGTTCACAAAGCCTCCTCTGACTATCAACCAACGACAGCCGTACGTCGTCTTATAAGTTTGAAGTAAAAGTAGAAAGAGACATTAGCGTTAAGGACTGAAATACAATTGAGTTAAAAAACTACATAAGAATAACAGAGATAGCTTGACTTTAGTAAAGACGTGTCACACAGTGTGAAGCCGGAAGTTGTTTCCAGTAAAAGATCTAAAGGAGTGATTTTGAAAACCATGTTTGTCCAAATTTACATAATACATAGTTCAGGCTGTAGACGACAAGACTTTGCTGTCTGTTTTTCTATTTGTTTTTTAGTTTGTTTGTTTTGGAACTTAACTGGGCGAAATTTCACGTGAACAAAACCAACTTTATCATTCTGAGCGCGTGACTCCAGCTTGTCCTCATAGGTGCTCGGACCCCCACAGATGTACCGTGAGTTTTCTGCGAGCCGCATGGTCCGTTGTCGGTTGAGATTTTTTTAGCTGAGCGTATCCATCGCCTACATTTCTAGTGGCAAATTCCTTCTTTTCCCACAGTCCAAAAGGGGCGCTTGCACGTTCGGCCACCACACACCTGTCGGTGTGGCACAGAGGGCGGCAGTCACGCAGCGCGTCCTTGAGCTCCACTCTCAACCTTATCAGCTTGGTGTCGAATGCAAAACAGCCAAAGCGAACACTTTCTCCTGCCAAGCAGTTCATTGTGGGACGCCGGGCATGTGGTCATAAAAAAATTGACCTTTTTTCAGACGTGCCCGGAGGACGTCCGCTTTGAGTCCTCATCGAGCGCGTGCGGACGTCCCCCTAAGTATGTTGGACACTTAAGATTACAGAATGGACTCCTGGGTTCACTTGTTCTGAGGTTCGCGTGTCTTCTGTAGAAAAAAAGAGCCGTATGTCGAGAGCGATGCTGAGTTTCCAGATTCAAGAAGATCACCAGACTTTACATCGGTAGGCAGCTGCTTTGACAGACCGAACCAACTGGCTCATCCACGACTGTAGATGAAACATACACTTATAAATAATTACAAGTAAACACTTCCCCATTGTTAGAAAATATTTATATATATATATATATATATATATATATATATATATATATATATATATATATATATATATATATATATTACTTTCGCTTTTTATTTTCTACAGAAGTTGATGGGGTAACACAATTATATATGCAAAAAGAAGTACAATTTTATTTTTGCTCACAAGGTGGTAGGATCTGAAAAAGCCCATCCTTGATTTTCTTTAGAGATTATTTCTCATTTAGCCAGAGCTTAAATTGTGTGCTTTCAGTCCTTCAATTTGCAATTAGGTGCCAACATGAGGGACCAGAAGACATTTAAATTTGAAGGCTTAATTCAGTCTGAACCACAGGGACTGCCATTAATATTCAAATCCTCCAAGAAAACAATTTAGCACTTCTTCAACTGACTGCCTATTGGCCGAATAGAACAGAGGTGGAAAACAGCTCACAATAAAATACTAAAGGAGGAGAGATTCTCTTGAAGGATGTGCTGATTAAAGCTATTATGTACAAACCTATTAGAAAACTACATGATGCGACAGCTTTAGAAAAATGAAATAGGAGTCACTCAGTAACTGCCTGAGAAATAATGTGAGCGTGTTTGTGATCTGGTTAAAACAGACCAAATCGCTGACGCCTTGGTGTATCGATATGCTGAAAATAAAGGAGTAAAAATCTGTTCCCTCCCTTTCTGAATCACAGAAACATTGTTTCTTTGATATTGTTTCTTTATTTAAATCACAGAACAGGAAAAGAAGAGAAATTATTTTATTTTTCTTCGACTGAAATGTGTTGGGCAATACTAGATGTTTTCAAAAACTTTTCACACCCGATAGTCTGGGGACCGATCTTGCAACATTGGTTACGCATTCAGGAGCCACTCCAACCGAAAAACCTGTTCCTCACCTCTCCTGTGGTGGCGCTGCACCAAGAACTACCAAAGTTATCGCCTCTAAGCCTCTGACGGAGACCAGCGCAACTTCCTGCCAGATCAAATTTTAGCAGCAGAAGGACTTCTCCGTTGGTATACGTTACTTTACTCATAAAGAATTGACATTTTATTCACATTTGGTCAGCTGAGACACAAAAAATAAAAGAAGATCATGAAGTAACACCAGATGACCTGCAGTCAAGTCCAAGAACCTTGATTCCAACACTCACCAGCTATTCATCGCGTCAAATATGACACAGGTACTTTGAAGACGTGACAAGAAACAGCTTTAAGAGAAAGAGATCACACTGGTCCTCATGCTAAAGTAGATATTGTGTTGTTTGCTGCTGACTGAAAAATATATATAAAAAAGACAATCAGCTAAAACAAATTAAAACTGAAATCAGCAGCATCGATTGAGATGATATTTTGATTTAACTGCGTTCCAGCAGGACAATGTTTAATTCTGTACTTACGTAAGCCATTGAGCTTTTACGCATAAAAGCTCGTTTCAAAAAAGTGGTGACCCAAAGTCAATTTAATGGTCACTGAACGTACTTGTACACGATTTAGTCACTAAGGTGTAGAATCAAAGATTGCTCAAGAAGAAGGCAAGAGATGACTTACGTTTAGCTGGCCCGCACCAAACATCCGAATCTCCAGTCACAGCCTGCGAAAAGATGCAAAGGTTCACCTATGAGTTACAATTACGTCTCTTATTTCAACTTACTGCAGGAATCAAGGCTTGCAGACCTGTGCAAGTCTGAAACAATGCAATCAAACCCAATGCAATACTGCTTTTGGGTTCACAGAGAGCAAGTAATTGTGAAAGGTGTTGCTAGATTCAGCAATCTTCACCAGTGTTTACTCTTTTTGTCAGTACCGTAAAAATGTAAATAAATAGATCTGTAAATCTATTAAAAACACAAAAAAACACCTTTCATAGACACTTTCATTTACTGTTGCCCTATTTGTCCAGGTTTGCTTTAGAGATGAACATTTAAGTAAAAAAAAAAAAACATACATCTCGTGATAAAAACGTTGATTTACTAGGATTTATTTAATAATGTTTTTAAATCTTTTTATTTTTTGAAATGTTGCCAGCCTTTTGGGAAGTCTTATTCCATTCAGAGGCCAACTGTGCTAATTTCTAATAAGAGATGCAGTTTCAAATGTAAACTCCAAATCATTTTGTCCCTGTTCTAAAGACAGTACAGCTAGTTTTAGAGCAACTCCTCTCTGACACATAATCACACATCCACACACACACATATTACATCACCTCAGCACATAAACTAAATAATTGATCACTTATGGCAGAAAAATCAGGGAAAGTGCTTTCTATACTCTTCTTTTATCTTCTGCTAGTATGGATTATGCATAGAAATCTATAACAGCGAAAATCAGTATCAGCAGTTCAACGTTTTCCACAGATCTAAAATATGCCACAAAATTTTGATTTTTTTTTCCATCTCTGGCTTAAAGAAAAACAAAAATTCCTTTGGACAGTAAAACTTCATCCCCATAAAACAAAGGATCATGTGACGTAGTTCTCAAAATGTTTTCGTATTTTTATTTAAACAAAGCAAATCAAATCAGATCCAAATATTTCCGTAACTTTCAAATGAAATTTGTGGGAACACGGAGGTCAGTCAGGCTGAGCGGCCGCCAGGCTGGCCACGTCTGAGCCACGTTTGAGCCACATGGTGGGCGAGTCGTGGCGCACATGTAAAAGATTTAAGTTCAATCGAGCATTCAGGGCTGGACACCTGATCTTTCGCTTAGAGCTCCACTTGAACGGTGGGAGGGTGGTCGGGCCTCACAGCATGCTGCCACCTCCTGCAATCTGCTAGCGCGGAGCCTCTGAAGGGTTGGTATTTAACCAGTTCCTGCACATCTCAGTGGAGACTTCTCTGTGTGCGGTGGCTGGGTATGACCAGAGGCCCCACGCTGATGAGGAGGGGAGACCAAAATAGAGGCGGTGGAGATTATAAGAAAACAGTTCTGACATTTTTGAGCTCAAGAGGGGTATGAAAGTATATTTTTTTAGGTAATTTTCATATTGGTTTTGGGAAAACGGGGGAATTCTTTTTGATTTTTAACTAAGAATAATGTGGAAAAGTAAGTGGAAGCGCCTCAAGTATTAATAAAATCTGTCAGAAACTGGACATGCTCATGTTTATTGATGCACCCCTTGCAAAAAAATCACATGAAATTCACATGTGAGCACATGGCAATCACGTGAAAATTGCATGTGATTCACATGTGAATTTCTTGGGATTTTTTTGGATAAAGAACGACATACCTCATTCAATTTAATAGTTACTATCAAGGAGAACTGTGTATATACAAATGGAAACTGGGATTTCTATTTGTCTCACTCCTCATTTTTTTAGGGTTCAAGATTCAGTAGTCAAAGTTTAGAAATAAAGAAAAGGAAAAAAAAGTCCCTGAAGTGGTTCCTTTGGAGAAGGGCCACTCAAATGTGAGCAGGGCTGTGCAGGAGAATTTCTAAGGTTTCTTTCAGCCACAAAGAAAACATTTTAGTCTCTCGGTAATCCTTTCCGTAGTCCTCCCTAAGCCCCTTCCTCCCTCTGTCAACCCTCCGACCCCTGCCTGAGATCCTACTGAAGCGCCTCCGTCTATTGAAACCTACCACACACACACACACACACACACACACCAAAAACTTCAACTGTTCTTATCCATGACCCTTTAGGGACAGAGCTGACCTTCCTGTCCACGTCAGAGTAAATCAGAGCAGGAGCCTGGGCACCGAGGGGCTCCCCCCAGGGGGCTGGAGGTCTAATCACTGTGTTCCTAACAGAAGTCACAGAGGAAACATTAGCATTCCTGAATCTGCTTCGCGTCGCTCGCACCGCCTCCACACACAGTGCTGCTCTGAGGTTTGCGTCCACTCATTGTGGGGATGAATGCCACACTGAGTTCGTAGACACACGTTTGAGTTTATGATGCATGTTCTTTAATCCAAACGGGAACAAATGTGTATACATGCTGGCTAACATATCCATGTGGACAAGTCAAACACCCTGGGGAAACAAAACCAGATCAAGAATGTTTGAAAGATTCAACCAGAACACCACTCGTTGTCAAACATGGTGGAAGTAGCATTATGCTGGGGCTTCACTTTTTCTGGAAAACAGAACAAAATGGATGTGAAATCAAGAAGGCCTCGTCCAGAGTTTTTAAATTCCTCTCACAACATCAACGACGTGATTCCAACTTCTATAACGCAGAGTTTTTAACAAGTGAAAGATCCCAAACACACCAAAACCTAGAACAATTCAACAACTCAGATAAACGTAGCAAACATGGCGATGGCGAGGTCACCTAAGGTTTCCCCGTCACTGGAATCATCTCCATTTTTTGCTCAGCAAAAATGTTTATAACACTAGTAAAAATATATCAAAGAAATCTCTCAAACACCATCATCCATGTAATTCATCAGGTTTTTGCCATTTGGCTTGGGGGATAATACTGTTGTTGTTTGTTTAATCTTTTTATTTTGGCAAAACATACATTAAGAAAAATATCTTGGAGACAAACAAAATACTAGAAAACATCAAGTTAACATTCAGCATTGTAATTTTGCTAATATCTAATTTGCCAAGGAGGAGACAGCTGTCTGCTGGAAGACTTTATGATAAAGGAATATGTATTAAACATTATATTGATTAAGATTATAAAAAAAAAATTTCTGTTTGTTTATTTCTGGGTCGCATTCTGGGGAAGTGTGAAACTCCAAGAAGCTCAATTGCTCAGCTTTCAGTTCGGGTGTGTGTGTGTGCGCGTGTGTGTGCGTGTGTGCGTGCGTGTGTGTGTTCTCCCTCAGCCTCGTGCTGTTCGGCTTCGTCTCACGCACGTTCGTATCAGTTGAGCAGAAAATTCTTTCAGCGCTGACGTGTGCGATATGCTGTCTCTATGAGTTCGGCAGCATATGAATCAAACGTATAAAAGAAGGAAACGTGTGGAAATAAAAAACAAGCTGAAGATTTGGGCTACAGAAAACAACTCAAGATGAATAAACATTAGTGTGTGTGTTTTTCTCTCTCTCTCTCTCAAATGAAAATAAATGATCAAGGTCTGGAGAGTGATGCTGAAGTTGCTTCTTTTCTCCTTCAGGGGTTATTCAGCCTAGAAATGGGCGGATAATGTCGCTTCTGCATATACTGAGGGTTAAATATCTATTTATGTTAATAACTGTTCTGCTCCAACATAAGCTCACAGAAATGAGCAACCGAACAGTTGCCAGCAATCAGATGCATGTGAGTTTATTGTAAAGACTTTTCTGTGTACTTTTTTTTTTCAGCTTTTTCCACAAAACGGCTTAAATCCATTGAAATCATCAGCAGGTGAAGGTGTGAAAGTCCAAATGAAATCGCTGTCAAGCCAATTAGCAGCCTGGTTGCTGATTGCTTGCATTTAGAGATGTCACAACCAGGATTGTTTTGCCCCTGTTGAGTTATTTACGGCAGTGTCTTTTTTTTCCCCACATTTTGTCACTTTACAACCCCAAACTTCATTGTACAGATAAGAGACCAACCAACGCAAAGCAAAGCAGTCCCAAAAAGTGAAGTGGAAGGAAAATGTTACAACATATTTGGATCTTTTAAAAAAATAATTCCTCCTCATTTGGAAGTCTGAGAACTGGTGAGAAGTATTTTGTGTTCATTCCCAAGTGACTCTTTGGACTCTTACCAGCTTTGGCTGAAATGATAAAGAATTTTTAAACATAAGTATGATAACAAATGCAAGTTTTAGAAGCTTTTACAATTTTTATGACATAGCTGAAAAGAATATCCATGATAGATTATAATTAAAAGTATCACGACTATTTTTTTGGGACTATTTATGCTCTTATTTTTGTATAATTTCCCACAAATATCTAATATATAAGAACACATGCCTCCTATTATTGCAAATGCTTTGTGTTTTCCTTTATTCTAAAGCCCATAAATACAAACAAAATGGTGGTTCATCAGGAACGACAACAAAATCCCTTTAGTAGAAATTTAAAATAAAACATAGATTGTCTTTTTTGCTACTTTTTTGTTAGTTTTATTTAGTGGAGATAAAGAAAAGCAGCACTTTGAATTGTAAAGATTGGAGATTTCTGTCTTTGGTGGATGGCCACAGCGTTCTCTCCAACCTGTTTGTTTGTCCACCAATATTCTCTAAAAACAGCTGAGCTAAACTCAATCATTAATTAGGCGACTTGTGAATGGAGCTGATTGTTCTACATATTATTTCGGGGTATCGGATCCAGGGCGCCCGAATCCAATTTTCTGAATTTAATTAGTAAAATAATTTGGAAAGCCACTTGCTCTTGGTCTGTCACATAAACTCCATTTAAAATGCTTTGAAATCCTTGGCTCCACGAAGACAAAATGTGAGGCCGGGCGCTGTAATAAGATCACTTCACTCGCAGGTGAAATAGTAACTGAGTAGTTTCAGGTGGAGTTAAATAAATCCAAAGAAACCACAAGTCGGGAGTCGCTTTATGAATGAAATGTGCATCTGGCTAAATGTTCCTCTCCCTGCTGCAGGTTGGAATGCAGCTGCTCGTGTCGTTTGTACGAAAAGCTCAGACGAGCAAGACAAGCTCACTTGATCGGTTAAGTTTCTCTGCACACCCAAGACCAACGGGAA